CCCCCCCCCAGAAGCTGGTAATAGGCTGAGAAGTCAATTTATTTGGAGTTTTCTAAAGTAAGATGTACGCTGGTTAGTGTAGCTCTTTAAAGACAATATTTTCTTGCATCCCTTTTCCTGTTCTGTGCTGGTGACATCTCTGATTACTCCAAAAGAAAATATTTTTTTTTTCACCCTCACCTGTGTGTGAAGAGATCGCGCCAGTTTTCAAGGTATCAGCCACCTTGGTGTCAGTGCTTCTGTTTGCTGCAGAGGTTCGGTCATGGGTCATATGTCACAGGTCAGAAGAGGCCAACCCTGGGTCAGAGGAACCACAGCCCCACTGGTCACCCATAAGCCAACAGCTGAAAAAGGGGAATTCTCTGAAGCAGTACATAAATCAGGCTTTTTATTAAAAAAATTATCATTGTTCTAACCCATGTGCTGTACAAATTACAGAAGCAGAGGATAGAGATTGGAACCAAACGTGTCAAATTTACTATGTTTTTTTTTATTTTCAGCATTGTTATTGTATAGTGTACAGTTTTAGTGACCACATAAATAAACAGTCAGTTCAGAGAGTGATCGTGTGAGCTCCCAGACAGAAAAAACACACGGGCAAGTTAAAGGTGCTGAATCTCTTCAGTCTTGAACAGAGGAGATTTCAGGACACCTTGACAGGAATGTTCGAGAGCCTCAAAAATGACTGATAAAGGTAGTCCAAATGGATCTATTTGGGATCAATAGTGTAACATGGTCTAGAGGAAATCAAGTGGAGGCGCCTTCAGGATTGAGGAACAGGATGCGTTTGTTTTTACACAGAGAGTGGTGGATGTTGGAAACGAACAGCCCCCAGCAATGTTATTTAAGCAAGGGCGGGGAGATCAACACAAATCAGACAAGCAGGAAGGACAGGGGTCTTGCTTCCCTGGGCTCACTCATATTTGATTTAGCTTCGACCTTGTGCCTCTTTGACAAACAGAGAGAGAGAAAGTCCAAACTACAAAGCTTCCTGTCAGCCTCCATTTCAGGAGGAGAAAGGGTGACAGCAGTCTGCTTCAGCCGTGCCTTTAAAGCCATATTGACCTGAGCTCAGCTAAACGTCGAAACAAGACCACCAGGTGGACATGTGTCCTCTCCTATCTCCCTAGCTGGACAAGGAGGCAGTGGAAATAACCGAGAGCCGAACTCTCTCGGCTCACGAGCTGGATTCTCCCATCATCCCACTCCTGGCGCACTCCTGTTGCCCGTCAAAACACCTGAAAGAACAGGACAGGAGCTGAGTTTGTCTGGTAAGTCTGGCCTGGAAAAAAAATAAAAGGATCTTAAGCATAAGTTTGGGTTACTTTTCGGAATGATTCCCATCCAGGGCATAAACACTGCTTATCTGCCACGTGTACAATGTTGCACTGGTTACTGTGATAAATGGAAATGAAGTCTGTAAGCTGGCTTGATGCCCTTAAAAATCTTAAACTAGAGGTGGATTGGTGACAGGTCAGAGTCAGAAAGAACACAACAGAGATCAAGTGTGAGAACAGTACAGTCGAAAAAGGAAACGTATCAGAACCATTTGCACAATAGACTGTAAAGAAAAAGAAAATTCAGAAACATGAACTAGAGGACAATGGAAACTACTTGGAAGTGCTGTTAAAACTGAGAGTAAAATGACCTTTTTTTTACACAAAGGGTGGTGGGAGTGTGGAGCAAGCTATCCAACCATGCTCTTGAAGTCAAAAACTCTGTGCCGCCAATATATTAAGACAATATCCTGGTTCTGTATTGTTTGCAGGCTCAGCTGCTGTGCTTCTCTGCCCAGGAGGGGCAGTGTTCCCTGAGCGCAGAGATGGAGTGACAGGCCAGGCTGCTGCTGAGGGGACCTTCACCCATTCTCCAGCTGTTTGCCCTGGCACACGGCTGCTCCAGCACTAGGTAGGACACCAGCGGAGGCGTCCTACCCCCTCAGCACAAATCGAGGTACAGCTCTCCCTGGCCT